AGAGAGAGAGAGAGAGAGAGAGAGAGAGAGAGAGAGAGAGAGAGAGAGTGAGAGAGAGAGAGAGAGAGAAGCAGACAAAGAGGGAGAGAGACTAGAGCACGATTGGGTATGGAGTGAGGGGACTAAGAGCTGGAGGGACCCACACGCACGCACGAACACACACACACACGCGCGTATACAGTGAGAGGCTGCACGTCAAACTGTTCGTAAAGTCGGTTTGGTTCTTCACTCGACACGAGTAGGACAAAGATAGCATCTAGATGCGTCGGTCACGAGAGAAGAGGGAGAGAGCGGACGTTAGAAGCATCGCCGCCCGACGACCCGCCGGACGCAGAGAAGAGTATGCTTCTGTGAGATGCGTCAGAAACTACCCAGGTGCAGCAAGAGGTATGGTGTATTGTGGCAGCAAAACTAACAAAGAAAATGAGCGGCGTCGTTGAAAAAGAATGGGAAGGTTCTGTTAAATTTTCGCCCGAGTTTATTCCCCCAAAAGCATGTAGCGCTGACGTGCTGCGCTCTCTGCACGCAGTCTGTCCTGTCCCCGGGGCCCGCAGAGTCACAGAATGCCGTGTCACGGAAGAACACACACAAGTTGCGCTGCACTCGCCCCCGCCCTCCGAGCGGCAAGGGCGCCGGCAAAGAGGGAGAGGGAGGAGAGAGGGGGGAAAAAAGGGGGATAGAATAAACAGGGAGGGAGCTTTCTGCTCCTTTTTTTCGGGAGAAGAAGCCGACGCCGGCGCGGCGGAGCGGCAGAGCGTGGCATGGCGGGGCGTAGCGGGGCGCCGCGGGCCGCGGCGGGGCGGGGCGTGGGGGCCACCCTGGCGCCAGCCCAGCGCAACACACAAACCCCGTGCTTGGCTGGACGTTCAGCAGTTTTTGGACGTGGGTCTCGCAGGCTTTCTGTTTTCCTCTGGCATTGCCGGCCCTATGGCAGAAAGAGTTCGTGTGTTTATTCCGCTCTGTGCGACCAAGTCCATTCGACAACCGACGATTCGGTCGATTTCTTCATCGGCCCTGAACAAGAATGCTCCTTTCCACGGAGAACTAAGTTTTACGCTCTGTTCTGTTTCAGTCCATCGGCGCTGAGCGGCCCCGAGACGCATGCGCGGAGCGTCGAAGGCCGACGCGGCGGGCGGCGACGCGGACCCGACGGCGCTGATAGAGCTGCCATTCCTCTGCTTAGCTACCAAACTATGTGCAGTCTGCGTTCCGCAAAGATCAAAACAGTATTCTATTAATCACTGATTTATAAGTGTTAATAAAAAAAAGCTCCTGTCTAATTTTGTTTAGCTCTTCTTTGGCGGTCTCCCGCAGATTTTCGCGTAGATTTCTCTGACTTTCCTTACTCCTACTCCTACTGCTCAGCTAATTGAGGAATTCCACGCTACCGTCACGCTCAAGACTCGTGCCGTAGTCTCAAATACATACTAATAAACTACAGAGATTGTGTACTAATCTTTAATCTGCATGAGGTTGTTCCGGCCGCGGACACTCACCGGCAGGGTGGTGGCGGAGGCGGTGGTCGAGGTGAACGCGCTCAGGGCGCATGCGTCGTGGATCCGGTGCGGTGGATGCCACGTCCAAGGCAACGACAACAACAACAACAACGAAAACAACAAGAGCGGGGCATCATGACACGTTGCGCCCCGGAGTGCGGCGGCAGCGAGGAGGAAGAAAGAAGAC